ATATTTCCCCAGTTTTTCTAAATAATTAAAATGGGGATTGAAACCAGAGAGAAAAATTCTGCCTCATCATACCTTTATAAAATGAGTCAAATCTTGTGTTCTTTCCAAAAGAATTTGATGGAGAAAAGGAAGAGACTTCTACTCTTGCTTTAGTTTGAGTTTCTACTGTATCACTGATAAGTGATTTCAAAACAAGCTATACAATCATTTTCCAAGTTTCATTAGAATTTGCTTATTCGTGACAAGAAATGGTCTCTGAATCACTACAGTACAGCCAGTCTGGGGCGGTACAATGACTTAGTAATTGGCAGCAGTGAAAGCCAGCCTGCCTACCTATTTATAACCCACTAATCATAATGGCATACATTCTCCTTGGAACTATAACTTACTGTGAGTGATTCCCACTTCCTATACCACATGACAAGGAAGCATTAGAGGTTACACTTAATTTTTATGGGTTTTTTTTAACCCAGTTTCCTAGCTAAAACAGGTTTATGCAGTCAATACTCTCTGTTCTGTCAGCCTGCGTACCACCCTCTAATCACTTTCTGAACTGTTAAGTTTTGCTGGTGGAGAGGTTAAACACACTGTTCCCATAGGTACTGTCAAAAGAGACTTCTAGTGAAAGAGAGAGACCTCCAACACATACCCCTAAAGAGGGTTGGGCTGTGGCGCAAACGTATGCATCAGAGAAGCCACCACAGGAAAGAGATCATGCAAAAAATCTATGAAAAGTTTCAGTCAGTGTTTGTATCTTTCTAAGGCTTCAAAGTAAAATTAACCACAAGATCAAATCAGTAGAAGAGATTTCATTAGTACCAGTGTTCAAGGAACTAATTGTTGTTATTATTTTAGAGTCTGTACAAAGAAAAGAAATGGTCTTCTTATATAAGAAATACTCTGTTTACCATGGAGTGAAAAGGGGAAAGTAAACGGTAACATGGTGGTATTGTAAACAACTTTGTATTTTTTTTGTATGTGCTAAAAAGAAATAAATTATGTCATACTGTTTACTTTGTAACATTTTTTCATTAAACAGCAAGAAAGGATACTGACAGCCTATTCTCTCTTTCTTTCCAATTCCTGTTTGCCAAAAAAACCCACAATGCAAAATGCAAAGGCACCGTTCATATGTATACAACTTTGTAATAGCCTTCTATGCACTGAATAGGGGCTGCTGCTTGCATTAGTATAGATGACTAAGGGGAATCCATACTTAAATGAAAATAAAATTTTTAAAATGTTGTTGCAAAGTATACAGCTAAAACTACTTTTAAAGCATAAAAATCCCATATTCTACATAAGAAGATAAATATATTTAGTTTTTATTATTTCAGTCCCTTATATCTCTTAACAACTGTGTTGTTAAAATGAAAGCTGTTGCCCTAGCACCCATGTGGTAGCATGTGGATCACATAGATTTCTAAGGTTATTACAGAGGTAATGAAACATTCGAGGAAGTTAACAACTCCACAAGTAAGTTTTGTGGACATTGAAAAATGGCAAATTCCATGGACGACTTCAGTGATCCAATCTAATCCAAAACTTCTCACTTTTTTTTTTTTTTTTCCGCATGGGCTCCCTCCCAAATCTAGGAAAAAAAAAAAAAAAAGTATACATAGGAATATCCCTATGATTTATAGCATCTTCACTTCTTGCACTTGAAGGGTGGAATTTTTCAAATTTAAGTTACAACTGCACTTCTACTATATATCAAGAAGTCTCATAGGAAGCAAATCAAACTTCCAAATTAAGACAACAAAAACAGATTTGACAGAATTTATATATGCACAAAACTTTGTAGAAAACAGAGGATATACCTAAACTAGAAAACAACCTTTTAAAAAAAAATGTTAATTCCATTTGGTTAAACATATTTAAATGGTTCTGTGAAATACAATTCTCTCTTTAGCAACTAGTATTATTTCAGGTTTTAGACACAGAAAGAAAGTTCCTTAATGTATAATCACAACAGAATATACACAGCACTGTTTTGTCCTCAGATAGCAAGAGAATAAATGCAGCAGGTAGGCTGCAGAGCAGACACTATGCTTCCTTTGAGCTTATTAAACTTCTGCAGTGAAGAACAGCCCTAAAACACATAGCAGAGTAATCTTACCAAGCATCATTTCTAAGGTGTACTATTTCTTTGTAAAACTGTGACCATTCTCCAGGAAGCTCCACACCAGGCTACTGCTGCTGCTCACGCTCAACTCCTATGCATGGTTCACATCAGCAGTTCCTCAGTTAGGGTCCATGTGCTGTAAGACAGGGGGTACAAATGACGCTGCTAACCCACGGGATATTTGGACTGCCACAGGTGAATCACAACCCAGATATGTGGCTTGAGTCCCTGAGAGGGAAACTTTGGGAACTGCTGTTCAGGTCATAAAAATTAGAGTACTAGACAGGAGGGATGTGGGCCTAATGCACCAGCAGCAGGTGGTATGCAGTTCCTTGACTACAAGAGGCAAAGAAAATGAAGGGGAAAAAACCCTGTAGAATATGGCTCATTTCCTCAGAAGTTTCGCTTTTTTTTTTAAAAAAAAAACAAAACTGTGCATCTAAAAAATACAGTATTTATGTTTGTAACAATGCTGCCATAACAATCAGGAAAAAAATTTTGTTTTCTTCTGTCTACTTTCCCCTTCACTGGCTTAATTTAGGCAGACTGATCTGCCTTACTCATATGGGACTACCGTTGTGCAAACTTTGTCTTCCCTGGGAAGGAGAACAAAATCCATCAACAGTGATATGGTTCAAAAGGTGATTCAAGGTACTGCGCAAAAGCACCTCCAATCCACAGCCTTTCAGAACCCCACACCATCATTTAGACATTGTAACACTTCAGTTTCCATTACAAAAGAAACTAACATGGCATTTATGACACAGTTGTCTCCAGGTTGCTGACTGATAAAACAAGGAGGCTGCAGGACCCATCCCACCCAGTGCCAGGCACAAACCATGTGGCAAACAATAGAAAACAGCCTATCAGACACCTGGGAACAGCCATGACTTGACTTCTAAGGCTGCTGAGATGACAGTGGCAGGGAAAGTCCTCCCACTTTCACCTAGCTGACCTTGGAAGCAAAATTGAAATAATCTTAAGAGTGTTTTGAGACCAACTCACCCAAAACAGAAAGATGCAGTAGGAGTGCAATATGCTAATAGAACATCCCTTTTATATGTATGCAGATACACAGAGTTACAGACGTAAAGACATAGGAAAGCACCTGAAAGAATACATTTTCCCCCTATAAAATATTTATGACTGATCTAATAATACATTAAATGTTTCTTAATAATGGCAAACATTTGAGGCATGATAGTCAGTGAATTGCTAGGGAATGCCATGAAACTAAATGCTTACCATGTAGAAATTACCTTTAAGTCATCTCATTTGAATGAAATTATAAAAAATGATGTTCTATTCATTATTTTATGTAGGCTGTACTATAATAAACAATGTGGTCTGGTTTATGTAACAGAAGTATCCTAATTAGATCTTTCTTGAATAGATACAGGTTTATTAGTTAATGTATACTGGGTAAACCATTCAGCTAATGCAGCTATTGCAGCTAATGCCATGTTTTAATTCTTGCCAATTGCTAGAGGAGTTATATATATGCACAGCATGGAAGCTTATGCTTCTTCGACTTCACATGAGAATAAAGAATCAAATAAAGAGAGAGAGTAGAAAATTAACAGTTTTAAATCCTAAACTGACCTACCTTTTCAATAAGAGAAGAGACAAATAGATGGACATGCCATGACAAATAACAGATGTGCTTTGGCATTTCCCTGTTTTAGTAGACAAATTGATTTACATCTCTCAAGTAAAAGACAACAAGGTTGTCTTTCTGAAAAGGTTGTTTTTGAAAACTGGCACATTACTTAGAAACCATTTTTTTCCTTAATTGTGATAATTGTCTATTAATATTCTAATGCATGCTAAAACATTAAAAGCTCTTCTTTGCCTTTCCTCTCCCAAGTGTGACTTTCCTTCTGATAGAGATAAATTTGTCCAATATCCCTTCCTTCCAACTTCTTTCTGTTAGCACAGTTTAAGTTAAACAAAATCAGTGAGAAAAAGGAGGAGAAGCATTTTGTTTTAAAGTGTCATTGTCTATGTTACAAATTCACAGGTATCAAAATAAATTGACTGACAAATTATAGATTAAATCAGACAGTAATCAATCCCCACTACACCCCAAGAAAAATACATAGTTCTCTTTAAAAACACTGATCTAACTGCAAACATATTTCCACATTTCCTTGTTATGAGCACTATATCTTTTTGTCTTCTTTTAACACTGCTTTGGCCTGATTTCCAAAGAAATTAGGCTTAATGAGATCATGGTTTTTTTCCTAGATACAGAGATTATTTAACTTAATGGCCAAATCCCACCCAATCAGGGAGTGGGACAGTGATCTCAAGTCTAAATAATATTAGAAGTATTTTACAATTTCAATAGCTTACTGTGGTAAGCACACCTCAGAACACAAACCAACATCTCAAATCCACAGGCCTGCTGAAGTACAACAGTGAGCCCTGTCAAAAAATCCCAAAGAGAAGGTCTTGTGTTGAATTACTTTTATTTTCTCCTTATTCTTCCTTTTAAGGGAAAACAGCTTTACTGAAACTGTAACAATAAAGAAAAGGGTAAAATGGTAGCTCTTCCACCTGAATTTTAAAGACAAAAATTCACCTGGCCATTCTGGAATCTCTGTTCAGTTTGGAGGATATTTTTATTATCACAGTTCATGATATAAGTATTATATTTATCACTTATTCCTGTTATAAGTATTACATAAAACTGTATTTTACATATATGAATATGTATATATACACGTGATATATTGAGTTCATACATCTATTGAATACATGCATACATATGAATATGAATATGTATGTATACATATATAGACACACATATGCACATAAATATGTGCCAGTTGAAACATGTCATCTTTTCTTAACCAAAAGATCTTCTGTTTGTATTATAAAGTAACAGTCTAGCATTTCTAGAAACAACCAGATTTTTTAAACCACTGTGAAAGGAAACTGAAATGTAACAAAAATAGAGCACTTTTTACAAGGAGTCACATGGGAAAAACAAGGGAAAATGGGTACAAGTTACTCCTGGAGAAATTCCATTTGGAGACAAGAGTTTTTCACAATGAGAGCAATTAGCCATTGGAATAATCACCCCAGGGAAGCGGTGGATTCCCCAACATTGGGCACTTAAGATTCAGCTGGACAGGGTGCTGGGCCATCTTGTCTAGGCCATGCTTTTGACAAGAAAGGTTGGACCAGATCATCCTTGAAGTCCCTTCCAACCTGGTATTCTATGATTCTTATACTTGCCTACATAACATTTTTCAGGCAGCCACTGAATAATCTCAATCCACTGTGTGAAACAGATGGTTTTGCTGATCAATAGATACTTCAGGTGTATACTAAATCTTAGAGAATTAAATTTATGTAGTCTATAAATACAAAGTGGTGTCACATCCTTGAATAGGAGTTTGAAGTCTTTGGAGGACAGTGAGCTTTAAATAAAAAGAAAAAAATTAAAAAATGGATGAGAAATTTAACCAACTCCTTGTCATGGGGCTGCTTCAGCTACTGTAGCCTGAAGTATCCGGAGTTGGGGAATCCACCACTTCCCTGATGAGATTATTCCAGTGGCTGATTGCTCTCACTGTGAAAAACTTTCCTCTTGTGTCCAAATGGAATCTCCTCAGGACTAACTTGTACACCTTATCTTTTCCACATGACTCCTTGTAAAAAGGGAGTCTCCATCTTCTTTGTAGCCACCCTTTAAATACTGGAACATAATGATAAGGTCTTCCCTAAGCCTTCTCTTCTCAAGACTCAACAAACCAAATTCTCTCAGCCTTTCCTCATGTGGTGGGCTTCACAGTCCTTTGGTCATCTTTGTGTCCCTCCTCTGGACTCTCTCCAGCCCATCCACATCTTTTTTGTATAGTGGGGACCAAAACTGAACACAGTATTGCAAGTGTGGCCTGACGAGCACTGAGTGGGATAATGACTTCTTTATCTCTGCTGGTGATGCCCTTGCTGATGAAGCCCAGCAGACTGTTGGCTTTCTAGGCTGCAGCAGCACACTGTTCACTCAGATTGAGCTTGTTGTCCGCCAGGACCCCCAGGTCCCTTTCCACAGAGCTGCTGTCCAGCCAGGTAGATCCCAGTCTGTGCTGTAGTCCTGGATTATGTTTTCCAGGTGCAAGACTTTACACTTGTCCTTGTAGAACTTCATAAGGTTCTGGTTAGCCCACTCTTCCAGCCTATCCACGTCTTCCAGAAGGGTGGTGCTCTCTTCTGAAGATTTTGTTTGTTTGCTAGAATTTATTAAAAATATTTCAGTTTTGAAATTAGGACATGAGGAGAGATTTAGGGTGAGGAAAATATGAAAAAATTTCTACACAATTTTATAGACTGAGATCAGAAAAATATTACATGAGTAATATAAAATGTAACTTTCTGTCAAAGCAGGCAAAAAACATGACTAACTCTTTGGATTCGGGGCTCATTCATTTATGATGAAACGTAGTTTGTTGTAAAATCAATTAAGAATAGCGTACATGCTAAAATAGAAGCAATTGCTCAGTGCTCAATCTCCTCTTCAGCTTCCTCCTCCTTGTAATTGCACAGTACTACACACTTAAACAGTGACAGGAGATATTACTGCTTTTAGTACAGGAGGTTACAATTTAGCAACACTATGACTCTGTTGAAATTCAAGAAATTTAATTCATGATACACCTAAAATCTTTGCTAATGAAAATAGCATTAGCAAGCATACTACCCAATTATGAATCATGGTTATGCATTTTAAATACATTCCCCAAGAGTAATAATGTTAGTATAGAAAAAAATATCACCATGAAAAATACGGTCTTTCATTTGTCACTAAAACAACAAAGTCAGAAAATGATAAAATTTATTAAAGCAAAATGAACACGGTATGAGTATATTTACCCTTCCCTGGACAATCCATTTCTTCTTCTTTTTCTTTATATGGACAAGTCTAAAGTGATATTCCACCTTGATCCCCTTGTCTTTTTTGATCACTTTTTCCTAGACAGAAAAATAGCAGAACTAATGAACCAAAAAAACCCCAAAACCCAAAAAAAACCCCAGATCTCAAATTAAACAACAGAGATCTATTTAAAGTAAAAAAGTTGTCCATTTATCACTACAAATTTGGCACTACTGTGCCAATACAGACTAAAATTTCAAACCTTGTGGTCAATGAAGCATAAAATAGATTGTCAAAAATACTCTCTGAAATATGAATCCACTGGAAAAAAAAACCTTTAAAATACCTAAGATAATTTAAGAGAATCAAAATTGGCTGAATATTCCTCTAAAAAGCCTTTACCTCCATTTCTCAATTCATAAATGGCTTTCTCCTAGATGACTGTTTCACAGAAGTAGTAAAAATAAGCTTCTGACTTCTACATTTGAAAACGATGTACATTTTTGTGGTAAGCCAAATTACTTACATGGAAATTATTTACTCTGTAATAGAAACTAATAACAAAATAGTAAGCTTTCTCTCCCACTGAAACAATCTTCTCAGAAAATTCAGGAGGCCCAATGTCATGAAGCCCATGGTCTTCTAATCATGATGTTACATGAAGTAGAACATTACTGCAGAAAACACAAGTTCTTGTAATGAATTTTTTGTGGCTGTAACTCAAAATGGAATTAAAACAGGACTTAAATTAAATGAAAACATCATACCCCTTGTACTGCAGTTGAAAATAATCATCCCTCAACAGGCATCTGAATTTTGGTCAGTCTGAATTCTACTGGTCCACATTAAAGCTCATTAAGGATAGAGCTGGCTACACCAAGTTTGGCTGACTTAGTTAGATAACCTCCTTAGGCCCACTCCCAGGGTACCTGGACAAAAACAGGTTAATGAAGTGCTCTGTACCCCTCTTATTTGCCATTTTGGCTGAGTTGGTTTTGGCTCTGCTGACACTGTTCCATGGCTGGGCTACTCTTTTGTTTGCAATCGTCCTTCCGTCATTAAATGAGGATGCTACAGAACTAAAAAAATGCAGCCCTAAAATAAGAGCAATTATGTTAAGAAGGAGAAAGGTAACAAATATCCATCCAGCTTCATGCATTCCCTACTGCCAACAATGTTTAAAACCAAAGAATATTTAACAAGCTTTGAGTTTCTTCTTATCCTGATATTTCATTAAAAAGGATCACAAGCTAATCTGTTGATATACTAAATAAGGAAAATAAAAATCTATATACTTTGACTATATTTCCTCTAAGAATAAACAGAATGGAAAAGAATAAAAGATTGAAACGTGCCTGGAATTTATTTTAATAACCCAAAATTCATAAGGAATAAAACAGCAGCTGCATTTACATTGAAAAATATCAGTCTACACTCAGAACACCCAAGCGTTCTCAGTGGCTTCTTTTAAAACAGATAGTCTCCAAGACAGAATTCCTGAATTTTATAAACAATCTCTCACCTTTGTTTTGGCCAGTGGAGAATAGGGGCTGGTGAGGGAAGCATATGAACAGACTGCAAAGAAATCTGGAGTCACTGCCACAGAAAGATGGCAACCATCCTGGGTTGAACCAACCCTGCCTCTTGACACAAACATATGGAGAGATGTATTATTTGCACCTGAAAATGGGGGATGTGTGACTGCTAACAGAAAAAGAACTGATGGTCAGGTAGAAGGAAAGGGAATGAAATAATTGCCCTTTCATTGTGCAGCTACTAGAAGGCACTCCAACACTTCAAGCTTTTTTTGTCATATTTTTCCCCTCTTCTCCCCCCTGTAATCACACAATACCCAGAATGCTTCAGTCCAAACCATTTGCCAGATATGGAATCAGGAAAGGTTGGGTTTGGGATTTTGTTTCCTTACTGAGCCCAACTGGTAAAGATCTGGTAGCATTTTGCATTATTTACAGTGATTCAGAGGTAGGGATGTAGGAACGAAGATTAATGCTGATTTGAAAGTCTGAGAGGCAAGGTAGGAATGAGTATCCCACTGCAGCTTTCAGCCCATATTCAGAAGCAAAGACATCCAATAATTCTCAGCAGTAAGCCCCGGGACTCTAAATATAATGGCAATCTGAAATCTTCATGAGTTTCCATTTAGTATTCTTGCATCGTGAATAGAAACATGGTGTTTACCAGTGACTGATATCCAAGAAACATAATCTGTTTTACATCAGGTTATTTATTTATACATGAAGAGTCCTGCAGTTCTGCCTGGAGACAGGGCGGATGTGAAATGAAACAGATGTGTATATATGCCCTGTACTCACTATCAAACTGTGACCTTCTATCTAAAATTCCTTAGGTAGTGTATCTTCACTCAATCTTACGGCCAAAGCAATGGCGTACTGATGTCAGTAAGAGTGTGGCCAAAAACTCCTGCCTCTTCCTTCTCCTCCTTGTTTAGATTCCTTCATGGCTGGTATTCTTGCACATAAAAACAGCCAGCAGTATTTTAAACATATTTTCACTGCCATATCCACAAACAAATCAAACAGTGAACTCAGGAATACACATGAGCACACTGAAAGTCAACACTTACTCTTTTGCTTGAACAAAAGACAAAAGTGTATTTGCACCTTAGCGCAATGTACATTATTTGTATGAAAGGAAAGTGAGGGAAGGTGATTTATGGGTATCTGTAGCCAAAAGCATCTCAAAATTATTATCTGCTTAGATGGTAACTGAGTTCATTCTGAATATTAAAAAGTTTGTTACTTAAAATATTATGACTTAGATTAAGGGATGATTCCTCAAGTAAATTCCTAAGTAAATTGCAATAGTTACAAGAATTCATCCTCAGATTTCCATTCCTTTGATAGAAGTATCTAACACAGAATTCCCATACATCCCTTCTCTGCATATAAAAGGGCAATATCCACAGAGATGTTGTTGAGGGTTATGTTATTAATGTCTATAAAAAATTCTTCAGTGATGAAAATTACTATATGAAGTCATATTCACATATACGATGTTATCCTTCCATTCAAAGTTCAAAATTTTGCAGATCTGAAAGGCAGACAAGTCTTTTGTTTCTGCATCAGTTATTCCTGGGAGAATCACAGGAAAAATTAAATCAAATTAAATTGAATTAAATTAAATAAAATAAATATTTTAAAGTTTTAATCTTGAAATACAAGACTTCAGAAACATGCCAGTCTATCCGAAATCATGTTAATATTTTTGGCGCCTATGAAATTACCATCAAGCTCTTCAGGGCATGCTGCTGTATGGGGTATCTTTATATGCACATCTTCAGGCAAGGACTTGATCTTTCTGTGATTTATAGAGTCACTTACTGCAGTGGAATCATAATCAAGCACAGGTCCTCTAGAGAAATAAGAACAAACAATAATGAGAGTAATGCTTTAATATCTAACTAAACAAGAATCACCTCTGTTTTCCTGTAACTTAACATTTTCTCCGTATCATTTACATACAGAAAATGTTAAGACTAACCGGTATCACTATGACCACACTCTGGTCTTCTGCAGAATACCAGCTATGATTAAACAGCAGCACACTGAAATAGCATAAACATTCAACAAGTCTGGGGTTTTTTTACATTAATATTTTTGAAGTTGAACTTACCTACAAAGCAGAAAGGAGAAGCCTGAAAGAGGACAGGACAGTTTTGTCATTCCAAGAAAGCAAGAATCCCAGCATTTTGGACCACCACTGTACATGCTCCCTGAAAACAGATGAATTTATGAATTCTGGGAGGACTAGGGACTATAAAAACCTGCAAAGATTTCTGTGTTTGAAGGCATATGAAATACGCTGCTTTGGGCCAGTGAGGAATGGTGGTTGAAAAGCTAGTGGAGAAAGGCTGGATAAGGGACTAGATTTAGAATAACAAGCAGTGAAGTACTAGGGGAGGGGGAGAAGCAGTTAACACTGACACAAAAGGATTTGCATTTCTCTCAGACCTGTGTTCATTCTGCAGTTGATGAACATGACAGGCTGGGAAAAAAAAAAAAAAAAAAATGAAGCTTATTTCACCTTTGGGTGCTAAGTACCTTGAACAGACAGGAAAGGGGAGAAAAAATGAACCAGTACAAATGGACAGGGCAGACTTACACACAGGAGTAAACAGGCAGAATGCAGGAACAGCACAAGCCTACCAAACGTGTAAGATTGTTTTGCCCCTCCTCCTCTGAGGTCTGTAAGACACAATATTTGAGGAAGATAAACTCCATATCTTTCAAAATAAAAACATACCAACTAAACTGATAAATATTACATGGCAAGCAGTATGCCTATGGTAAACAATTCTGTCAATGCAACACAATTTGTAATCTTATTTGTTGATTTTGGAACAACACGTTTGTTCAGATCCTGCAATAAACAACCAAATGTTCTTTCATCAGAAAGTGAAAATCAACTAAGTTAGTTAAGAACTAGTCTAAGAACACTTGACAGCATCCAGGTTCAGTAACCGATTTTCTATTTTAAGCAGGAAGAGAGGTACAGTGCAAACAATCTGCAGGATAAAAGCCTGACAGCAAGAACTCCACACATACTAAAGAAAATAATGTGTCAGTGACAGCTACAACAGCAGCAATTTTCAGCTTCTTACACTATTCATGCAACACACTTTGCAGTCATCCCTCTTGCATAAATCTGTACATTGTAATTTTGCATTCCAACGGATCAGTTTTTATGCTTCGTATCTGCAAATGAGTCAGATAATACAGAATGTGAGAAGTGATTTGTGCTATCAGTGACATCAGGAGTTTTGCAGCTGTAGTTATTAACAGATATTTTTTCATCCAGCAGCATCAACTAAAATCAATCATTCTGATAACTAGGCATGGCATGAGCTGTCCACCCTGTCATTTCAATCTGATTAATCACACATACACAGACCTTTACCTTAAAGGAGCAATTGTTCACATTTAATCACAAAAATACATTCAAGCATACCATCACAGATTACTAATTTAAGTGCAATTTATGTCTCATATTTCGGCAAATACGTTTATGATAATATGACTTTGGCATATAGATGTATTGTTTCACATGTTTTACAAACATTAAAATCTAAGCTAATGTGTTGCACTTTGAATCATTTATCACCTCAGATTTGTAGCTTCTAGAGCTTCCATTATACACGTATCTTTATCTGAAGATTTATCCTAATAACCCAGGTACAGATAAGTTATTAGTTACTATGTCTTCTTCAGACTGTGCTTGCTAGACAGTAGGTATCTTCTTTATCATATATGAAATGACTTAATTTTATTTAAACATCCTAACTGGTCCATCTTTTATCTACATTTTCCTTTTTAACCTTTAAGTTCTTTTTAACTATTAATACTTATGCAAGACTTGTTCTTTCTCTTTCGGGTTTTCAATTTGTTTTTCTTTTTAAAATGAAAGGCATACAGGAAAGTCATTACACAATCATAAAACTCTACAAGTCAAAACAGACTGCACAAGCAAAAACACACTGCTATGCTAAAAACAAGTTGAATTTGAGATCTATCAAAACAGTAACATATTTCACTCTTCTAGAAACATTCTACATTCCACTTACACTTCTTGATTAGGCCTAAGCGCACAAAAGTGTCCTGGGGTCCATCACTATTCAGCAAACCAGGCATCTGTTCAGTTCAGAAGCCACTGAAATACAAGAATGTGCTGAAAATTGAGTATAAGCCTGTTGTGCTGATACAAATGGACTAAACCACAATCTCTGGCTGTACTGCTAACCTTCAGTCATATGTAGCAGACAACTGTATTATTTATTACACATACCCAACAGGTGAGTCCTTCAGCTTTTAGATTCTTCAGAAGTATAAATTCACCACCATTTCACAAATAGATACATTCTTCTGAAGGGTCAGACTCATATTCTAAGAATCAGTTTTCATTTACTGCTTCTACACTAGATAATACTTACGCTTTATAATACATACTTTTTCAAAGACTGTTGTGCTTGAATCTATATATGAATTACCTGATGAACATTTTTACGTTTTACACTTAAATAGATGCATTTTTAAAATAATTTCATAAATATTTTATTCAAGGCAAAGATTTATTAGTTAAAAATATAACACAATGGATATAAACTGGACCTTTCTTTCATTCGGAGCTCAATGTGCAGAAGGCTCCCAAACTACAGGCTTCCCTTCTGACTGCTGCCCAACAAGGCTCTCAGAAAATGACAGGTTGGATAAGTTGACAAGCAACTAAACACTTGCAAGAGAAGAGAAAGCATCCTTCTGCCAAAGAATTTTGAACAGGAAAGCTGAAGTGTTTGAGGCAACCAGAGAGTTATGTTTAAATAAATTGCAGAGATCTAGATGCATGAAGAGAGTGCAAGTAATTACTCAAAACTGCACAGTGCATTTATTTCCTCAGTCCTGAACTGGCATATAGAAAGATTCTGCTTTCTACCACATGTCATGCACCAAGAGTATATACATTATAACACTTCCAGAGGTTCATGAAGTCACGACTCAGTAATGCAATCAACAGTAGCTAGGCAGAATGTAAAGGGAGCCTAATCGCCACTAGAAACTTTAATGTAAGTGCCCCTTAAGATACAGAAAGCTGACTTTCAAAACATTTTTCCTCATCATCTTAAGGTATTTTTCAGAGCAAGAACTGTTTCAGCAGCAAAACACTATCACCTTTGGTCTTGATATTGCAATGCAACTTTATCAAGTAGAAACAGGTATCAACAAACCACACATCAATCTATATTTCATGCAAACTATCTTATGGGGATACACTACAGCAAGTGATTTTCTGATCTTTCGTAGGCTCTGGAAAAAAAGATTAAAGCAAGGATTTTTGTACATATAGCCATATACATTAAGAATCTAGAAAATGCAACTGCAGATCAGAACATCTGTTCATCTAGTATGTAGCCCATCTCCATAGCTGCTAGCATCAAAGAACATGCAAAGTATCCGTCATTAATAAACAAGGATAATAGCTCCCAAGTCACAGGCTGCACCCACATCATTGTCTTTAATAGCTATTCATCAGTCAGCTATTGATTTTCCAGTCTCTTTTAAAATCAATTTGTACTTTTGACCTTCCAAAACCAGCAATAAGATGCATTCCACAGTTTAAATTCTGTAGTTCAGGTGAAAAAAATGGTGGTTTGATTTTTCCCCTGTCTAAGCTTACCAGCTCATAATTACACTGGATTCCCCTCGTTCTTATGAAAGATGATGAACAGCTAGTCCCTACTTATACCCTCTGCAACAATCTTTTTTATATTCACGTCTACCATAGCACTTCCCACATACATACCTCTTCTATGCTTAAAAGTTCCAGCCTGTTCAGCCTGCCCTTGTATAGAAAGTCATCTAGGTATACTTTCTCAAGCTTTTTCTTAAGCCCATCTGATAAAGAACTTGACAAAAAATAGTAAATTAGAACTATGTTTCCCTTTTCAAACGTTGAAAAGCTGTTAACTATTCCCACTACATCACATTTTATTCATTTGATTGATTTTCAGTATTATACCACAGTAGTCCTCTGGAAGAATTCTTTCAAACATTTGGAATTTATTACCTTACTGTTTCACTGAATATCTTGTTGTTATGAAAAAAAAAAAAAAAAAAAAAAATCAAACATTTTGTGCATTTTGTATCATTAACTGATCTGAATATACACCAAAAAAACCTAATAAGAATGTAGTATTAAAAAACTGTAAAAAATCACATCATATGTTCTAACCACTTTCAACTATCAGGTAAGACGTGGGTGGTGAGATAGGTCTGAAAGCATATATAAACTTTTTATTTTTTCTTTCTTTGTAATATATTTGCAATTATGATGTTACCTAAACTCAGCTTCAGTAACATAACTGAAATCAAGACACTGTGCATAACAATATATTGCTATATATCAACAAACATAGGAGCTGAGCAAGTCTTTCCTTTTAGTTACATAGCAGTGATATGGTCATAATTGACATTTTTGTCACGTTGCTGCTTAAGTCCCAGTTTGTGCTGCATAAATGCACAGAAATTCAGCTGCATTTCAATACTCACTTCCCCTACCTGCCATTTTACTTTCTGCTCTCTTCTTCTGTCTCTTTCTTCCAGTCTTTCATCACATGTGAGAATTCAGTGGTTTTTCTTCTGCTTGTTGACAGGAAAAGAGACTACGGTGTCTGCTAACTACATGGTCCTGAACAAAAAGATCAGCAAAATTGCAATCAACATCCAGATAAGGTCCTCCAATTTATTTCTGAATATGAAGCACTATTTAAATCACAACATCGCCAATGCTGACATTCAAAACAAACAACATGCACCCCTCAAAAAAAAAACCACCAAAAAAAAAAAGAACGTTATGAAATGATAGAATCAGATGTCATCTCTGCTGTACATCTAATTCTAATTTTTATAGACTACATTTAAGATAGGACATATCAACCATATTAATATTCAAGTCTATCCCTTTACCACACAGTCACTAATCAGAGCTGAAGGGGACTGAGCTTTTCTCACAGTATTCATTCTCATTTTAAAATGACTTAATTTTCAACTATTTTATATTCAAAACACTTTTCTTTATCTGGCATGTAACCCCTATAGTTCAAGTAGTTAAACAAACAGCATCTAATTTGATATTCTGTAAAATTAATTTCAGTATAGCAGCTGATGAAAAACAGAAAGGTTTTAGTATTTCATAGGTATTTCTAAAGCTTGTCCCTCTGGAATTAAATCTTCATAGCAGCCACTTCATAAACAAGATTCATTTTTTTTCATGAGGTGTTACTTACATATGCAGTAGAGTATATTTCATAATACACCTGATTGTGCTATTAACATATATCTTAAAAAAATTAAAATAACACTTATTGAAAAGCAAAGATTTCATCAGAGAATTACAGAGCAATCATGCTACCCCAACCACAGCTCTCATATATGGGTTCTGTTTAGCAGCAATGCTTGCTTCACAGAGTTATCACCTCCTGAAACTCTCAGCCAAGCTGTTGCTTTTACAACAGGCCCACTGAAGCTGTATCTAATGGATTTTCAAACAACCACCATTTGCTGATTCTCTTGTATTTTAGTCTCTTTTTTTTTTTTTTCTTTCTTTCTGATAATAAGATTCAGTTTGTCACTTGAATTGCCCAAGATAATCCTTGCTTTCCCAGGCCAACATTGGTTAC